ACACACACACACACACACACACACACACACACACACACACACTCTATCTATATCTATGGTCTGGGGAACTTTTTGTTTACTAATTCATGCAAATCAATCTACAGATCCATCTATCTTTTTATAATCTTTGCGGACTTGTTAAACTTGAGAATAGCTGCACATCCTTGTTTCAAAATTGCTAAGGATTTTTACTTTTAGGATGGAAAGTAGTAACAGTCTTTGAGTGAGCAAATATTGAGCTAATTGCAATTATCACCCAACTTTAGCACTAACAACAATTGTAGTTATACATGCAGAGATAATGAAAGTACTGGGTAGTAACAACTGCTCAAGTCAGGATATTGTACTTGATTACTTGATGGACGAGTAGTCTGTTCCTATGTGTCACATGCTGATTGAGTACCGTACACATGATAATTTGTATATTTGTCTGATGCAAGAATTGAATCTACTGTGTATAAATCACACTAGCAAGAAATATTTTTCCTTTTGATACACCTCTTTAATCTTTTGTCCCCCCCGCTGAGTTCTCTTTACTCAAAGTTCCATTCCTTCAGTTTTCTGCCACTACATTTGCGGTCCTGTGTCACAGCCATCATACTTTGGAGCTTGTCAGCACTATCACTCAACTGTCTGGGTAGGTGAGAGACATAAAAAACCTCTATTGCTGAGCATAGTGCTTTCACAACAATGCCAGTCTGGAGATCACAATACCAGCTGTCAAACTTGGATCTCACACCTGATCACACAAATATTACTACAGTTGCTACGATACGTGTGTGTGTGTGTGTGTGTGTGTGTGTGTGTGTGTGTGTGTGTGTGTGTGTGTGTGTATAAAAGATATTCTTTAAATTCTGTTTTAATATCCATGATAAAGGGAATATTTTAGATAGCCATCTTCTAACTTAATGATTCATGCAAAATGGTCTATTACTTTAAAAAAATTACACAAAATTAAAAATTGAACTGGACTCTTGTTAATTGCTTGTTTTCTGAAATAGAAGACTGAAGTTGAAAACCTTACTGAGCAATTTTTTAAGACTGAAAACAGAAACAAGCCTCTAAAACTAAAGCTTAGATAACATTGGAATTCATCATCTTGCACATATGGCATACCACATTCATAAACATTTAGCCTTGGTCATCTGAGATTATTGAGTCATATTTTTTAGATGGGCAAATAGCAGCTTTAAATATTCACCACTTGCTTTACTAGCAGAAAATGTATAGCAATTATTGAAAAGTTGATTTTTTTTGTTTAAACACCAAGCAAGCATGGACATATGAATATTCCTAACCTGTAAAATGATTCCTCCACATTATATCTGCGAAACTCATTGGTGGGCCACTGGGAGGGTAGTGTTTACCTTTCAGAGGCTCATGATCAGTCCTTATCATATCCATTAAGGAATTTTCCAAAGAGTGCAAGTTAAAAGTGTCATAGGGCCTATTCCGGTCCTAAAAGAAAAGATACAGAAAGAAAAACACCATTACAATGTAATCATTTCATAACACAAGCACACTTCATACATTGTATTACTTCAGCATTACCAGTTATACGTTTTTCCTCCATGATACTTTTTAACATTTAGAATAAAACAAGATAAATTATAATTATGATATTTGTAAATATACTGTTAAAAGGGATAATACATGTGACTGTTGAAAATAGTATAATGTAAGAGTTTTAACATATACTTCTCTCTAAACAGGTGTGTACAACTCTTACCCCAATAACATTTTCTACATTTAATTAGGGTTTGGAAATAACCCCTCCTCCCACACACATTTTTGGGAGGGGAGGGGGAGAGAAAGAGTGACATGCAGAGTTTTAAAATTGTATTTCTTTGTTTCCAGCTTCTGCCTTCATTTTCTGACATAGTGCTGCTCTGAGCATATGTGATGCAGAAGCAATCAGTGCTCAGGCAACCAGATCTTCCCAGCACAACGTTGTTGCTTTCCTCTATGGAAAGATAACAGTGCAGAGGCAAACTCTCAGATTATAAAGGTACACAACAGGGTGCAAGGCAAATCAAGAGAGCTAAGAGGGGCAGTATTGCCAGCCTCAAGTGTTCAAAAATATGGAGTCAGGCACCAAAAAAACCTGAAGAGATTTCTTTTAAATATCATGATTAAACCTTATTAATTTGAGATTCTTTTTTATTTACCGTCTGCTTTTTGAATCTTTAAGGATTAATTTGACCTCAAATTAAAATGACAAATTTCATATTTGGAGAAGAAACCCTGGTTCTAGTTTTACTCACAAAGCCCTAGCTACAGTTCAAGGATTTGTTGAGGGCTGAAATGGGTATAACCAGAGAGACAAGGTGGGTGAGGTAATATCTTTTATTGCACCTACTTCTGTTGGTGAGAAAGACAAGCTTTTGAGCCACACAGACCTCTTCTTCAGGTCTGGGAAAGGTATTCCGAGCATCACAGCTAAAAGATATTAACTCACCCACCTTATCGGTTTAATATCCTGGGACCGACATGGCTACAACTACGTTTCATACAATAATGGGTGTAACCACACATTTTAAATTGAAAACTTAACATGAGGCAACGGACATTTGTCTTAACTTCACCAGAAGGACATCAAATTATATGCTTAGAGATGACGCTACTGCATCAACTACCTAATCCACTATCCTGCCACTGCAATATAGTATTTGTAAGGAGTGGATACTCAATGTGGGCAAGTTGATGGAAAAGGTTAGATAGAAATTAGGTGGAATTTCACACACACACACTCACTCAGAAAGAATCTATAAATTTAACCTAGGAATCTATAAATTTAACCTCGGAGATTTTACATAGAAGATTCAAGTTTCTTTAAATAAACACAATCTCTAACTTTTTTTTTAGCACATCAGGCTAATAAACTAAATATATACATATAGCTGGTCTTAGAAAATAAAATTTAAAACTACTACAGGGGACTAGGATTAAAAAAATCTTTACACTGTTAAAGGGCACCAATATAAGGGAAATGGAAGAACTGCTTGAGAAGGAATAATATGTAACAGGATGAAACTGAGCAAAAGAACTTAAGGCTGGACAGCAAGAAAAAGTTTTAACAACAAGGTCAATTAGACCATGGAATAATCTTCTTAAAGAAGTGATGGAATCCCTGCTGCCAACGTTATTTAAACTGAAGACAAAGCACTTGAGAATGTTATGCAAGGCACCATCCTGCTGATAAGGACATGGAGTGGGTAATCTTATAGGACTTTTCCATCTCTAAATTCTAGGATTTTATGAGTGATCAAACTTCATTTAATTAAACTTAAATGCATCAGATACTTCATTCTAGTAATCAATTGGGAAATGTACTACAAACTCGAACCTTTATATTCTCGGTCAATTCACTCACACTGTTACTGACAAATAGGGAGGAAGGAGCAGGTAGAAGGTAGCAGAAAGCATTAGATTATTTCCTACTGTGCTGTGTTACATTCACTTCCTCCTCCAGTAAATAAAAGCGATTCAACATTCCTCTGTGCCAACTGAATAACATCTGCCTTAGACCTAAGAATCACAGAGTCAAAGTTCTCTTCTATGCTCTGACATCACAAAATCACTCATGCAGGCCAGGAGGTTAAGTACAGCTTTGGGAAAGCAGCAATATCCATAAAGCATATTTAATGTGAGTTTTTTCCCTTCCATATGTGGATCTGGCATGACCAGCAGAGGATCCAGACATTTCACATGAAGAAAGCTACACTTCTGGAGCTTTCTGATCAGCTTGCCCTGACCCTTCAGCATCACAATACACACATGAGGATGGCCATATCGGTCCAGAAGTGGGTTGCTATAACCATCTGGAAGCTGGCAATCCCAGACTGCTAAAAGTCCTTTGCTAACTAGTTTGGTGTTGGAAAGTCAACTGTGGGTAAAGTGGTGGCAAAGGTTTCTGAGGCAATCAGGCATGTGATTTACCCAAAAGTAATGGGCATAAACAATATCCCTGAACTAGTTGCTGGTTTTGAAAGAATGCTAAAAAGGTTCAATTACATTCTCAGCAGGTCCAGAATGGTGCTTAAATGTGCGTTTGTCAGACTGAAATACCGCTGGTGCTGTTTACAGACACATTTAGATGCCTGGGTCATCAGTGCAATCCTCATTGTGGCTTGCTAGGCTCTTCAACATCTTTGTGAAACCAAATGTGAGCCATTTGCCCCTGATTATGGAGCTTTGACAGTAATGGATTGCTGAACTAGTACACCTATGACAGCTGGAGCATGATGCACCTGGGCAACAGAAATCTGGGATACTCTGTGTGCCCACATTATGGATTTGCATAGGCCAATGGAAGAGGGAGAAGAGTAGAGTTTATGAATGTTTCTGTACAGCAATATTTATAGAACATGAGGTACTATCACATCATGCAATAAAAGGGGATACTGTCACTGTACACAGTGAATGGAGAGTTGATTGTTATGAATTTTTCATAAGGATGAGAAAGCAGGCTGCACATTTACATTATGGATTACTGTACACAGATGTATAGAAAGACTGTTAGAATACAACCTCCCTGTTGTGCCTTACCATGTGTTCATCTTTATTATTCAAAACACACATTTTATGATGTGACCTAGCGACGGCAATACATTTTCTTAATTAAATAAAATCCTTTATTTGTGAACATGGATGTATTACAAACAACCTAAAAAATCGTACATTACAACTGCCATTAGAACACCAAAACATTAATAAACCAACACCAAACCAGTAATAAAACAAAATGCATAAACCAAACACTGAACAGTGCAAACAGCGAAACCAGTGCTATCAAAACAATCCTCTACATTTTGCATGTCCTCTGGCATGTTTTTCCTTCCCTTCCATTAGAATGCACTTGGTGCCACTGCACAGGTATGGAGGCCTGCAAGTGGGCCAGGGCAAGCACTGTGGTTGAAGTATGCAGGGGAAAGGGGGCTTGGATGGGGATGCAGGACAGCAAGTGGGTAGATTTGTCCAGCAGCTCTTACATCCCAGTTGCATATGCCATCCAACCATGGCACTATCCAAAGTGTTCCTGGTCTGTAGTGTGTGGTACTGTGGAGGGGACTCAGGCTGAGGCGCAGGCGCAGCAGAAGTTTGCGCTTTCGCAGCCATTAGCGAAAGCTGCCTCTCAAACAGGTCTTTCTGCTACATTCGGTCTTCCTCCCTCAAGTGATGTTCCTGTTCCAGGGACTGTGATGCTCCCTCACTGCAATTCTGTCCTCAGGCTCTGCAGCCTGCTTGTGCTTTTCCACATGCCGTGAATCCTCCTCTTTGGGACTGCACGTGCTTGCTGGCCCTGTCCAGAATGTCAACCATAAGTTCATCAAGGTAACACTTCCTCTTCAACTGATTCATGAGGGTTCTGAGACCCAGAGTTCTCCCTAAGTGTGCCTGAGCTACTGAGGTAGAATGGCCAATTCAGGTTGAGGGTCCTGAAAGCAGACATAAAACATTACATTATTGTCTCAATAATTCAAATGGTTCAGTGCATAAGCATAGGAAAAATCCTTGTGAATGTCAGCAGGGCCGGCTCTAGGATTTTTGCCGCCCCAAGCAAAAAATTTTTGGCCGCCCCCCTTTTTTTCGTGCCCCCGGCCCCACCCCAACTCCACCCCTTCCGAACCCCTTCCCCAAATCCCTAGCCCAGCCTCCTCCCCTAGGCATGCCGCATTTCCCCCCCTCCACTGCTTCCTGCGGGCCCCCCACGACGTCCCGCCCTAGCTCACCTCCACTCCGCCTGCTCCCTTGGGCATGCCACTGCTCCGCTTCCCCCCCTCCCTCTCAGGTGAGGGAGGGTAGAGAAGCGGAGCAGCGGCGCGTTCAGGGAAGCAGGAGGAGCAGAGGTGAGCTAAGGGGGGGGGGGCGCGCAGGAAGTAATGGGGGAGGGTAGAGGAACCACTCCCCGCTCCAGCTCACCTCCGCTCCACCACTGCCTCCCCCGAGCGCCCGCCGCTCAGCTTCTCCTCCCTCCCTCCCTCCCAGCCTTGCTGCACGAAATAGCGGTTTCGCACGCAGCAAGGCTGGGAGGGAGGAGGGAGAAGCGGAGCAGCGGCGGCACGCTCAGGGGAGCAGGCGGAGGCATAGCAGAGGCGAGCTGGGGAGGCGGGGGCACTTTTTCCCCATGCCCCAGAGTCGGCACCAGAATGCCGCCCCTAGAAATGTGCCGCCCCAAGCACCTGCTTGTTTTGTTGGTGCCTGGAGCCAGCCCTGAATGTCAGGGTTCAAAACAAAAAACAACAACAACAACAACAACAACAACAACGGCACTTTGTAAAACTAAACTTCAATATATTGAGAAAGGAACTCTCCAGATCCTAAAAGTTCCATAGACACAATCTGGTTAATTGCAATGAAAAGAGTGCACAGAGAATGATAAGTTAAAAATCAACATTGTTTTTTGTTTAGAAATTGCCAACCATCTTGGGCTTTTTTGGGTGTGTGTATGAGGGGTT